CCTGAAAATCGAGCGGACCAGGCGGCCACGGTCTGGTTTATGCTTAATTATCAGCAAGCAGTTTATATAGATGGTTGCACGTATCGCTCTCCGCATATGCTTCTACTGGAGTAATTTTATTTTTATTCATTTTCAAGTTACTATCTTGTTTTCCTTCGAGTGAAGTTTTTGTTTAGTTTTCATGATACATCAATTTTTCCATATGAAAAAAATAAAATAATTATCAATATGAAATTTGTTTATTTTATATCTCTATTCTATTTCCATTATTGTGTACTTTGAAGAGATAAACATGAACTTTTTCTAAAATTGACGTGGAATTAAAAAGTTGAACGTATATTAAAAACGCAGTGAGCATTTTTTGAAATATAAGTTCACATTCATGTTCATTTTTCATTTTCATATTATTTTATAAAATGCTCACCATGTTTTTTAAAATGTTGAATGCGTATTAAAATAATATTGTGTAATATTATTCTTAAATTTCTACAAACATGCTTAACATGTTAGTACATTTCTAGAATTTATTATTGTCACACAATAATATTTAATACATGTTGAACAGTCTTTCAAATACAATATTGTCAATTTTAAATAATTGTGGATTTTAAAAATAGAATAAAGATACACAATAATTGTTCGTGCTTATGGTCCTCAACGAGGATGCATATATTCACACAATAATTTTTAAATATACGTTCAACTTTTTATGTCCACATAAATTTTAGAAAAGTTTCATGTTTAACTCTTCAAGGTACACAATAATGAAAATAGAATAAAGATATAAATAAACAATAATTGCATATTGATAATTATCTATTTTTTCATATGGGAAAAATTAATGTATCATGAAAATTAAACTGAAACGTCACTCGAAAAAAACCCGAAGCAGTACTTCAAAAAAACTGTAGAAAACATGTGCAAAGCGATACGTGGAATCGTGCATATACGTTGCTAGCTAGCAGTTAAATGTAAACCGAAGTGTGGCCTCTTGGTCCGCTTGTTTGTTAGGCAACCAGCAGGTCTATGGTTTGAATTTCCTTCATGCCAATTTGTGATTATATTTTTGTGAGAATTAATTAAAGTACATGCACGTTCCCGTAAAAATAACAGCGTGCGTCCAGCGCCCGTAGCGATCTTTTCCAAAGATTAACTAAAGTCCAGGCGCATTTCTGTAAAAAAAAACTACACACTGCTCACAACGCGCCTGGAGCCACTGACATGTGGCCCCGCGACACGCTGGCATGCCACACGGGCACTTGATACAGCGGCATACGTTCGGAGGCAATGTATTTGAATGTCTAGACAAATTACGACATCATTTTTATGTATTTTTTAAGTTTAGGCACCAAACTGACCACGCCGGACAAGTTAAGGCACATATAGTGTATCTACTCATAACTAGGACATGAGTGACGGCGTCCACAATTTCTTGTCTCTACACTTGTATCGACTGCGATGGTGCGCACTGACACGTTTTGCTCTTTCCGTAGGGATAGGCAACTTTCGAGCTGTAGTTATTCCCAACCACAGGTGTGGCTGCTCCGGCGACATGCACCGGCCGTGTCAACCAAGTCTTCCCTCCTTGATGCTATCACATAAGGCATCAGATGTCCATTTCCTCTCTCGTTCAGTGGTGCTCCGTTGCTCTGCTCCTCTAGCTCTAGCCAGTCCTTGTCGCTTTTGCTCTGCTCATCTTCATCGCTGTCAGACGAGGAGTCAAGCAGATATCATAGTGCAGGCCGAGCAAGAGCAACGCGCGCTGGCTCGCCTTTCGTTGCGCGTTCTGGGCGGGACGGGCGAGCAGGGCGAATGCAACGCGGCTCAGCCGGTTGCAGAATGCTCACGGTGGGAGCGTTTGCAGGAGAACCCGTGCGTGTTTCACGGGGAACTAATTGCGCAGGTCCAAACTGCCAAGGAAAGTGCCGCAAAGGTTGGAGAAAAGGGGTTAAAGGATGCACTTTTGCTAATTGCTTTCTGTGCCGTTCTGAAGCTGCTAATTGCCTGCGTATTTCAGTGACATGTGGAGTCTCTGCCTTCTCTTTGTCTCTATAATTAATCATCATGCAACAAGCTAACAATTCTGCTATTTTGCTGAGACTTGGGTGAAAAAAATAATAGGATGAGAGAGGGTTGGTGAAGCTGGGGATCTCTGTCATTTGCTTGACCCTTTGGAAATTATGTAATAGTGTCACTTTTTTATATCAATAAGGTGGATGATCCTTTTACCCCTGTTAATATGTTCTTGAAATGGCTTCATGATTGGAATATTTTGTAGAAAAAACCCGAAAGAAGTAATTGTTGGTTTTGCTGGTTTTGGGCCATATATGAGCCCAGGCCTTAGGTCTACTCTTACTAGGGTGGTGCTGGTGTATTCTTCTTTTGTTTCTTTTAGTTTGGTCTCTTTGTAAAGAGTGAATTACAAAAAACCATCACATTAGACGTTCTCATCCGGAATTGCCACCATATTTCTTGCATGCCTAAAAAATCTACCACTTTTCTTGCAAATTTTCTCAATAAACTCAAATGATCGATTTGAGACGAATTAAACCAATTTTTGACATGTCGGACCCGCTGGTCAGGTCCACGTGGCACTAAAAGTCAACATAGACGGTATTGACCGTTAGGTTGGATGTGGGACACGTCTGTCAGAGTTTGCTACCATATTTGTCTTTGTGGCATTTCGTCAATCAGTTTGCGAGTAGAGGGGCAGTTGTTCTCGCCGGCTTACGACAGCGGTTATTGGAGCTGGAGAGGACCGTTGTTCACCATGTCTGAAGAACAACGCCATGGCCACCACCAATCTTCGGCCATGGCGTGGTGCTGCTGCTCACTGCAACCGCCGCTTCCTGCTGCTCTACTTCGCCATGCAACCACGAGTGGTACATCCCGCACCTGCAAACGTGGCGAGCTACCACGCATGATGTGGCGGCGACCATGCCTGCTCGAGGGAGCGCGTGATACACCGCGTCACCACTTCCGTCCGCGGCGATGAGCCGAGACATATCGCTTGTCGGCCACCAAGGAGGGACGCCTCATGAGCCGCATCAGCCGGCATGCACGCTAGCTGCACCACTCCGCACACTGCTGCCGAGGCGCCTTGCGATCTCGTCCAGCCCGCGGACGGTGTCGGTAGGAGGAGGGCACTGGGGGGGGGGGGCTCGCTGTCTGCATCAAGGCAGAGCACCTCGAGCCCTCGTCGGAGGTGGGGCAGAGGGAAGGGGCACCACATCCCGGTGCGTGGTGGGTTGGGGTGACTATGCGGGCAGGTCTGCGATGGTAGTGCCGCCGGAGGGAGGCCGGGACGGCGACGTGGGTGGAGGTCGGCCGGAGCGGCGCGCGGTCGGTGCAAGCAGAGGCGTCCACCATTGGACGAGAGTTGTGAATGGGACTCTGACGGATGGGTCCTACATCCAACTTAACAATCAATGATGTTTGGGTTGACTTTTAGTGCCACACGCACCTGACGAGCAGGCCCGACATGTCAGAAATTGGTTTAATTTGTCCTAAATTGGTCATTTAAGTTTATTGAGAAAATTAGCACGAAAAGTGATAGATTTTTGGGACGCACAAGAAATGTGGTGGCAATTGTGTATGACAACTTCAAATGTGGTGGATTTTTGCAACTCACTCCTCTGTAAGAAGACTTGATGTTTCTGGTATAGAAATCGCAGAGGCGAGCTCTCTTTTATCAAAAAAAAAAAATAGCTAACAATGCTGCCTCGCTGATCTTATTTATGTTCGAATGTGTACTACGATTCCATGAGGCCACGAGGAGCTCTAACTAAAATCAGTACGCTATGACCCTCTTTGGTTTATCTGCATGGGGTGCATCGGCTTATAGCTAAAACAATACTCAAGGCAAGACATAATCACGATATCCGTCAACACCAACCGGAACTATAAGTGCACACGCTGATCCAACAGAGAGCAGCCAGGTGTTCCGTGTTCGTTGCCGCTGGATAACACAGCCACCTTCCACTAGAGAAGAAAAGTATCACCATCACCATCCTCACAAGTAAAAGTGGACCAGAAAAAGCCCCGGCCGGGGACGTCCCTGACGTGGCGCGGTGGCGCTGAACGCCGTCCCGATCAAGCGAAACTATTATCATGCCGCCCAGAAAGAAAGAAAGAAAGAATCTTCTCTTCGACGCGGCCAAAGACGATCGACCAAACTCGGGACAGCGCAACAGGTGTCATTCACCTTGAGAAAACGTGATTTCAGCGGTCTCTTCCTCCCTCCTTTCTTTTCTCCCATCGATCTAATCGCCCCCCGTCGTCAAGTCGCAGCATACCACGCGCTGCCTCGTGTCCACCATGATCAGGCTTCCGCCCGCGGATTTGTTGACTCGCCACTGCACGGCTCGGCTCACCCACCGGCCGCGAGGACTTTTCAGCGACCGCGAGAGCAGGCAAGCGGCGGCAGGACGGAGAGCATGGCAGCGCGACACCTCGACGCATTTGCGTGTGAAGGTTCTGCCGGAAGCTGAATTAACAATGCGAGCTCGAGCTTCTTGGACCCGGCACGGGGGGAAGAACATCCGCCCGAAACATTATTGTAGTCGAGGTTGCGCAACCGATTCTCGTTGCCGGACGCGTCCAAACGAACCTCACAATTGCGCAATCACGCCCGACCGGAGGAAGCATATGTATGATAAACAAAGAAGGAAAGAAGGTCGCGATCTAGTCAGAGGAGGATGAATCATGCATGCATGGAATGGAAGATTGGAAGCTTTGATCGTTTCCACCGGATTATAGTACAGTTTCTCATGACGCTCGAGAAAGAAAGCTTCTTGACACGCCGGAAACCATCGCCGGCTTTCGAAAGGAAAATGGCGGGGGCGGCGTGGGTCTGTCTGGCCTCAACACCTTTGCCACCCCCGGAAAATAAACGAAACAATTTCGTTGTGTATTTCATGAATTCCGCTATGGATGCCACGTTCGCCGCTGAGTCAGGGATCACGGACGATAGTATGGTGGATCCATGGATCCAGCGGCGGTCAGAATCTCGGGCGGCGCCTCCTGAGGTTGACGACGACGACGCTGACGTTGTCCGGGCTCTGCCGCGCTATCGCCAGCTTGGTCAGCAGGATGGCCGCCTCGGCGCATGCCTCGTCCACCTCCTCGCCGCTCTCCTCGTCGCTCTCGGAGCGTGCGTCGGCACAACCGCCCCCGTCGTTCTGGGCTTCGTCGCCGCTGCTGCTACCGCTGCCGCTGCCGCTTCCACTGCTCTGCCTAGGGCTCAGGTTGGAGGTCGGGCTCGACCGGCCGCCGCGGCGCTTCGCCTTGCTCCGCACGCACGACCGCACCACGTGGCACGCCACCTCGTTGCTCACCACGTCCCACAGGCCGTCGCTGGCGAGGATGAGGAACTCGTCCTCGCCGTCCTTCCTCTCCATGACCCGCACCTCCGGGTCGGCTATCACGAATGGCTTCAGGTAGCTGTCTCCGATGGCCCGGGACATGGCGAGCACGCCGAAGACGCGGGCGCCGTCCCAGAAGATGACGCGCCCTCCGGCCGCTTGGATCCGCTCGAACTCGTCGGGCCGATCCGGCTGATCAAAACGAATCAAACTACGGTTAGAACAACACGGAATTAAATCTTTATTAGCAGAGCTTAGAAGAAGAAGTTGGTTGTGGGCGCATACCTTGTGGTCGGATGACAGTGGGATGGCGGCGCCCCCGCGGCCGATGACTGCACGGCTGTCACCGCAGTTGGCGACGATGAGGTGGCGAGGGCCGACGACGGCGACGACGGCCGTGGAGCCGACGTGGTCGCACTTGGGCAGCTGCAACTCGCACCGGCAGGTGGGCGCTCCGCTGGCCCTTGACCTTGAGCTCACGGCCTCGGCGTCCATCCGCGCGAAGCTCCTCTCCATGACACCCATCCACCGCTCCGCGTCGTCCGACCCCGACGAGCGGGCGCCGCCGGCCTCCTCGGCGACGATCTCGTGCATCCGCTCCCCGCACGACGTTGCAACCTACACGCACATGCAATTCCATCCATAAATACTCCCGAGTCAAAACAAAGCGCGAGCTGCACATGCGCGCTCTCCTTTCGGCGTAGAGATATGCTACTAGTAGATCAGAAGGATAGATTATTTGAAGCAAGGGTATATAGGGACTCACATGCGAGCAGCCATGGCCGTCGAAGACCCCGAAGAAGTGGTGGCCGGGGAGGAACTCGGGCCGGATAGACACGGCGTCCTCCATGTCCCTCCGGCGTCCGCACACCGAAGTCACGCCGTACCTGGCGGGCTCGATCTCCTCCTCGTCCGTCGAAGAGGATTCCTCCTCCAGCTTCCGCCTCTTCCTGGAGGTCTCCTCCGCGCCACGCTCGGCCACCAGTCTATGCCGCCGTATCTCCATCCTCCGGCGCCGCGCGGCCCGGCTGCCGACGTGGGACTCGGCGCCCTTGCCCTCCGCCCCCGCCCCCGCCCCCGCCCCCTCCGGCACGTCGCGGCGGATCTCCGACATGATTCACGAGCCCAACCAAGCTAGAGCAGGCAAGAACAAAGAGCTAAATATTTCTCCTCTCCGCTCCTCCGACGTTT